CGATGTCATAATCAGGGGCTCTATAACATAGTAAGAATCTAAATGTGATGTTTAAGGACAGTTCACAGACGATGGTCTCAGGAATAGCAAGCTCCTGGGTAACTTGGATGTTTTTTAGATGTAGAGACTTTTTATAGAAGATAGCAACACCATCTCCTCTACGGATTTCATGATCTGATCGGTAAACATGATAGTCTCTTACTGTGGTAATGGAGTCAGGGAGAGATGCATTGAGCCATGTTTCACAGACAAATATAATGTCGAATTTAGCCGTATTTAGTAAGAGGGGAAATTCAGGTATTTTATTTACAAGGCTTCTTGCATTGAGTAGCTTGCATTTAAGGCCAGTTGTGGTTGGAATAGAAGTAGTTAGGGGCGTGCATGCCTAGTTTTGAGTGATGTCGGATTGGATGGGGTGGGGTTGGATGTGGAGTTGTGGGTTATGTGATTTTTTTTGATGCAATCAGCTCTGTAGTCAATGTGTAGGTCCTTTTCTCCATTGTCTGGATGGTTTTGAGTTCTGTGTGGAGTTCACGGGAGCGGATTCTTTGCAGTATGGATAAGTCTGGTCTTGAGTGAAGTTTTTTGTGGTTGGGATTGGTTTTTGCAATGGTGTTTATTGTATGAATGAATATGCATTTGCTGTACTCATTTTTGCATACAACTCTATAAAATCTTGGGGCCACAGAGCCGTCATTGTATTTGTACCCATGGCCATCTCTGATTCATTGGTGTCTTCAAGACCAAATAAGATGGCATTTGGTTGTTTCTGTTCACGTTCCATGGTGTCTCTGATGAGTAAGGAGATATTATTTGTGGAATTATTTGAAGGGATAGTAATTGTTTGTGGCTGTGGTTTGGTGGTTATTTTTGGTTGTAGTTGTGATTGTAGTTGAGGTAGTGGTTGTTATAGGATTTGATTTTGAGCTGATAGGTACTCACTTATCTGTGCTGTATTTTTTTTTTCAAGAGAAATTAGGCTTGCTTGTATAGTTGTTTCAAAACATGTTGCTAAGCGTTCTTCTATTGTGTGAATGAGTGATTCTATGCTTTCAACTCTGTTAGGTCGGGTACTCAGTTTGTTTAGCTTAAGAGAACATGATGGACATAGGTAAAAGAATGTATCTGAATTTTTAACCATATCAGCTGGGCTTTTATTTGCATTTAAGCAGGCAGGGTGGGCTAGATTATCACATAGGTGGCATTTGATGTAAATTTCACTTTCATTGATGGTTTCAAGACATTTGAAACATGTGCAGAAGTCTGGGAGGTCATTGGTAGAGATATTTTTCTTTTGTTTTGGTTTGGAGTTTTTGGCTGGCATGGTCAATTGAAGCAGAATGGAAAGTTACCAGAAAAGTATTCTTATAATTAGCAGAAGTTTCTTAGCTTATATCACAAATATTATAGAAGTTGCTTAATACGATATTGTGAAAACCACAAAATTGCTGAACTTAAGAACTAGACATGTTCCTGTAAACAAGGGTGGGTATGGAAAATAACAGAAGAAACAGAAGAATAAGAACAAATGACTAAGTAGACTTACTTCCCCTTTTGTAGTATGCTGAGACTGGGAGCTGTATAAAAGTAACCCCCTTAGGGATAGCCGGGGGTTCAGAATTTGCCATGCTAATGCTCTGAACCTATTGCGCAAATAAACCTGTATTCTCCTACCCTTCGTGGTCTTGTGTCCTGATTTGGAAACAGGATCTGCTGCAACATTTATGGCAACAGTACAGTAATCAATTACAATAGCTAGTTAATGTGATAGGTAGACAGTTACTTAATGAATGTTGGTAATTAATAAATGTTAATTCATATGTTAGAGAACAAATCAAAAGTAAGGTTGCTTATTATTAAAAATCAATCAATCAATCAATTGGTTATTCAAATCACTCTAATCAAATAATTTTGATAAGAACAAACAGCCTAATTTATTTCAGTAATTACTAAACACACTGGTCAATTAAATTCACTAAATCACTGATTTTACTTATCAGATATTGAGTAATTACACTATATGCACTAAACACTCAATCATACTAAGCAATAAAAACAATAAATCAATTGATCATTTGATAAAAATTAATTATTTTAAAGAAATTAATTTTTTTGAGATAATGAAGGTAATGAAGTAGTATGAGAGATGGTAAGTAAAGGGTTATTGCTTTGCTTTGTTTTGCTTAGCTGTTGCTGATATCTGAGAATAGGTTTATAACCCTTGATAAACTGGCAGGAGGTCTCTTTTCCTGGGCTGTTTGAAAACAATCAATGAGCAAGGGTTTACACTCTCTTTCTTGTTTTGTAGATTGGGTTTTTGAGATAGTAAAGATGCAAATATGTTGAAGGGGGGATCTCTGGCCCCTTCTTCAGCAGAGATAAACAGAATAATTCACTGGGAGGCAACAGGAAACTTTTTGTTTTGTTTTCCCTTGATGAATGGGATTTCTGGCCCCCTCCTAGTTAATTTAAATACACTTTCAAAGTTTGTTGCTTTTAAGAGAAAGAAAGATAGTCTTGCACTGGCAATTTGAACAGTTTATATTTTTACTATGTAGACTCAGATTTGTATTGAGCATTTGCTCCTGGCTTCAATATACTTCTGCTTCTATCACAGGAAATAAAATTGCTTCAAATCTTCACAGGAGTTCAGTGATAACAATACTTCCCTACTTATTGAAAGTCCAAAGTTACTGTCCTTTTAAAGAGGAAGTCCGGATTAGCAATTTGGTGAAGAAGGAAGAGGGAAGAAGGGGCAGCAGAGGGGAAGCAGTCTGTTTCACATCCTGGCTGCAAACGTCTGAAGACTGACTCACAGCTCACCGCCCTGCAAGGATGGGATGAATCTCACCACCCTGCAAGGATGATCGTTGAGCCCCCGTGGTACTGGTGAGCCCCAACGCCTTACCTTCTAGTAAGGATGGGTCGAGTTACAGATCGTTGAGCGCTTTTGAATAGAGCGCTCCCAAACTTAGTGCCTACCGAAGAATGAGTTCTTTACTGGTGTGCTGGTCAAGGATGGGAGGAATCGGAGATTTCCGAGTACTTTTGAATTGAGTGTTTGCTGAGGAATGGAGCTCTTTTCTGGCTTGCTAGCAAGTCTCGGGCGTTAGGCTTTCCACCTTGCCGTCTGGACCCACAGGGATTAGAGGGCTTGTCGCCTGGCACTGCCCGTGCCCGCTGGAGCTCCTCATGTGACTTCTCAAATGAAAATCAAAGGTCAAATGTATATGTAGTTGAGTCCTTTCTGCATGCTTGGGCTTGTACATGTTTTGGCTGTATAAACTAAAACACCACTACCATATTGCTCTATTTGCAACATCTAACTGAAAATAATACAACCACAAAACAATCTTAAATTTTATTACATATCCTTAAGAAGGTTTAGAGCTATTTCAAATTAAAAACAAAAAAAGCGCATGGAATTTCATCTATTTCAACTATTGGCCTTTGAAATCAAACTGGTTTGGATGACAGGATCAAACAAAAGAAATGCACAGTCACTAGAATGCTACAGCATGCGCGAAAGATTAGGAAGAGAAAAGGAAAGAAATGTTTTTTGAAGACATTGCAAATTTAGCATATTTGTACAGTATACAAGTTTTGCATCATGAAACAGGTGCTTTAAGTAATAAAGGATATACAGTATAAAGCTGATTATTCATATTATATGTATATTATTATATACAGTATAAAGCTTATTATTATATACAATATAAAGCTGATGTAAAGCTGATTATTCACTGTGCTGTTCCCCCACTGAAGCCTCAAGCTAACTGGCAGAGATATGTCTTTAGGCCCTTATGAAAGGATAGGAGGGTTGGGGCCAACTTCAGATTGGGGTGGGGAGGAAAGATATTCCAGAGAGCAGGAGCAACAGCAGAAAAGGCCCTCCTGGACCTTTCAGCTGGAATAATTGGGTTGATGAAACCCGCATTATGCCTCCTCTGCTGGCACAAGTGGAACGGGCCAATCCCAGTGGGGTGAGATGTAACCTGGATCCAAGTCATGAAGGGCTTTAAAGGTGATTACCAACACCATGAATTGCCCCCAGAAGCAGACTGGCAACCAAGGCAGCTCATGGAGCAATGGTGTTACAAGGGCAATTCTTGGGGCCCCTAAAACTGCCCACACCACTATATTCTGCATCATCTGTAGTTTCTGAATGCTCTTCAAGGGTAGCCCCATGTAGAGTGCATTAGAACAGTCCAATGGTGAGATGACCAGGGACTGAATGACTGAAAATAATTGTGAAAAAATCAGGACCACGACTGTTTGGCACCAAAACCCAATGCTACAATGCAAAGAGAAGAAAATGGTTGAAGGAGGATGCAACTTGACTAAAACCCATAACACAGAGCCTTCCCTTGGGAAATGCCACCCAAGCAGTTCTATCAGAAGAGATAGTTTAAGCCCTTTAGAGAAAATTTCTACACTGGAAGGCTTTATTACAGTGAGGAGTATCTTATTTTATGCTTCTGACTAGTAGGATACTTATCCATCTGTTTCCTTGCCGTGTTATTTAGCTGTCATGAGGGCAGAGTTTTTGATTTTTGAGGAATAATGTCTACCTATTACTTTAGCTTCCAGTTATTGACTCCTAGTTCTACATGAAATTGGATATGGAGGATGAGATAATAACCTTCTTTTCACATTTCTTAACATGTTTCTAATCCTTTTATGGAAGGCTGAGCAGAATTATTACAGCCTTTTAACTTATTTGAAGCTCCAAGCTTCATCTTAGCCAGTGTAATGAACAAAGCTAAGAAGAGCTTTATGTGCCCGCAGCTCCATATCTGCAATTACCATATTTATGCTAAGCATGCCTGGCAAAAATGTTAAAATTCATTATCTCCTTTGAGCCAACATATGGAGGAAATAGGAGGGCAACTGCAGGAAAGAAGGAAAGCATGGATCTATTACTGTTAAATCCAGTTTCCTTTGACTTTCTGATTAAATGAGTAGAAATGAGAGAAAATAAACTAGTAGAAAAATCTTACCTGTACACTAGTAAAAGTGGTATACTGATAAGCTTTAACTACCAGGTAATTTGCTTCTATATCTATTATTCCAAGGATCATGTACTTCCACCATCTTCGTTTTAAGATTGCCAATAAATTTTCTTCACCTGCATTGGAAAGGAGAAGGTGGGGGAAGAAAAGAGAGAGAATGGTTTAAAACACAAGATTTCTTATAAATGTACAAACATATATACAATTTTACACAAGTATTGGCATAAATGTATAGGCCATCCCTAAACAAAATCACTGATTTTTTGAGTGGGGGGAGGGAGAGCATTGCTCTATTATGTCTTGGTTTGTGTATGATGTAAGATTCAAGGGTCATATGATTACTTTTTCTTTCATTAACTAATATGACTAAACATATTCCAATTAGCAGTGTAAAGCATTTGTCCCAATTATACCCTGGCATTCTAAACTATAATTGAGATGTGGAAATTTTAAAAATCTGTCATCGTTAGGAAGAAAAGGAGAAATAATGGCGGCTATACCGTGGGTTATGCACTTCCTCCTGACAGAATTCTGTGGATAATTTGAAAATTGATACTGGATGAGCCACTCGATTTTTCTACAGTCTCACATAGCTCCATTAAGCTTCATAGTCTAAATGAGAATGGCTATAACAATACTTTTTGTTTGCAGAGTGATATACAGTGGATTCAAAATATACATTTTTTTCTGAGAAGAGAAAGGATAATCCTAGGCTTGGCTGCCCAGCAATAAAGCAATCTGTGTTCAGTATAGTTAGTCCTTGACTTACGACCACAACAGAACCCAAAATTCCTGTTGTTAATTGAAACATTTGTTAAGTGAATTTTGCCCCATTTTATGACCTTTCTTGCCTCACTTGTTAAGTGAACCAATGCAGCAGATAAATTAATAACCCAGTTGTTAAGTGAATCTCGCTTCCCCATTGACTTTGCTTGCCAGAAAATTGCAAAATGTGATCACATGACCTTCGGATGTAGCAACAGACATAAATATGAACCAGTTGCCAAATGTCTGAATTGTGATCACATGACCAAGGGGATGCCACAAAGGTCCTAATTGTGAGAAACAGTCATTTGTCACTTTTTTTCAGTGCCATTGTAACTTCAAACAGTCACTGAATGAACTGTTGTAAGGTGAGGACTACCTTTATAGCTTATCTCTAAAATTCTGCTGTGAATTTTGCTCACAGAAAACTATCTGGCTGTCTTGTTAGCGTACATGATGGATAATTAAAGGATGCATTTTCGTGAGGGAACAGCTTCCTAAAAATAAAGTAATGTAGCAATTTCAAAATATATCCTCAAGGGTTATTATGACAAGTACTCTAATACATAGTCGCTATATGCACACTTCTTGAAAGTGCAAATCTAATAGCACCGACTCTTCAATGCGTCGTGACCTACAAAGGGGTACCAGGATGCAGATAAGAGTGCAGGATTTATTTGGTGTCCCCTCTCTATTAATTTATCTCAGGTTCTTTACTTCTGCCAGCCAGGGGTGGGTATCTCCCAGCCAGGGGTGGGATTAAAAAAATCCCAGCAACTGGTTTGTTGCCCGGTTGCTGGGTGGGCATGGCCATGGTGGGTGTGACCTACTGGAACTTCTGGGAGGGCCATTTTTTGCCTTCCCAATGGCCTGGAGGCTTCCCTGGAGGCCCATCCGTTTCTGGACTTTCGGTACTTCCAGGAGGGCTGTTTTTCACCTTCCCAAGAGTCCGGAGGCCTCCCCTGGGCCTTTGGGAGGGTGAAAACAGCCTCCCCAGGCTCTGGAGGCCCACCGGAATCAGAAACAGGCCCATTTCTGGACTTCTGGAAGGCCCATTTCCCCCTCCCAGAGCCTCTGCGCAGACCCTGCACTTACCTGCATTGCGTGGAGACTCCTTGGAGGGAAGGGGTGGGCAGGGCCATCCGGTCAGTTGAAATACCGGTTCGGCGAACCAGATGAAAACATAACATAACTGGTTCATCTGAACTGGTCCAAACTGGTCCAAACTGGTAGAATCCCACCCTTGGTCCCAGCTATGAATGCCCAGAGATCATGCTCTTGAACCCTACCCTGGAAGAATGCCACCAGCTAGGTGCTAGGCCTGTGGTGGCTAACCTTTTTGGGCTTCTGTGCCAAAAATTGTGTGCATGCTCGCACTCACGTGCCAGCACCCAGAAGGCAATGCATGCCTCCCCACACCCCCTATGCATGTCTGCGCAATCCCCACCCCACCGTGCTGCCTCCTTACCTGCACTGCACCTCACAGCTGATTTTTTGCCAGTTTGAGGCCTTTTTTCACCTCCCAAAGGCTTGAGAAAGGCTTCTGCAGGCTTTGCAGGCTGAAAACGAGCCCTGTTTCATCACTTCCGGTATTTTCAGAAAAACAGGAAGTGATGAAACAGGGCTAGTTATTGGCCTGCAAAGCCTGCAGAAGCCTGCAGAAGCCTTCCTCAAGTCTTTGGAAACCTGAAAAAGGCCTCAAACCCACTGAAAATCAGTTGTGAGGCACACACATGCGCAGTGAGGTAAGTTTGCCTGCAGCTTGCGTGCCGGCACAAATGGCTCTGCATGCCACCTGTGGCACGCGTGCCATAGGTTTGCCATCACGGTGCTAGGCTATGTTTATCCCTATAACAGGTTTTGTGTGAATAATTCTCCTGTTATACAACCTCTTAGCAATCACTGTTCAGGGCAAATTCTCAGTGTCAGCTTTGTTCACGTATACACCCAGAATATTCTGATCCTCAATAAAAACACGCCTAAGATTTGACCCAAAATATTTTACAGATTCAATGCCACCTTCACTTTTTACAGGAGGAGGGACTTTTGAGGGCAGATTAATATGCAATTGTATTAACCTAATGAAAATGTAATATTAATCTGAATCGATCCAGGTTGACCTGAAGTTCTGTTTTCAGTGGACTGGATCCAAACCAATACTTGGTGAAATCCCAAAGCACTGGAAAAAAAAGGATGGGATGACATTTCTCTCTCTCTCCCCCTTCCTTAAGGAGCACATATGATCTTCCAGAGAAATGATCCCTTAATCTTCCAGTACGGTGGCCACAGAGTTATGAGGAAAATAGAGAAAAACATCCTCCTATTTGTTTTTCAACAAATAATAAAGGAAACTTCTTTATTACAAAAGAGAGAATATTGATCTGAATATATTAGGTGAAAATTGGCAGTATATGCCAGCATGATTTATAGTGACTTATAGTTTTAATTACTGCATAGTTCCAACAGAACGCCCCAAATAGATTTAATTGCTCTATACAGTAGTCTATAAGAAAAAGAGCACAGCTTTAGTTAGAACATATTAACCAGACTAATGGGGGACATTATTAAAAATCTATTCTTCTGCAGGGCAAATAATGCATTTAGACTTGATTACAAGCACGGAGTTTTATGGAAAGTAGAAAGTCCCAAAGGGAGGTTCACATTTATTGTTGTATTAATTTCTAGATCTTTTTTTTTTTTTTTACTTTTGAAGTTCCAAATAATAAGATAGAGAAGACAAATAAAAGATATACATTTTCAGCACAACTGGTGCTTAAATCTGACCCATGGGGCCGCCTTGGAAACAGTGAAGGATCGGCCCATGGTTCCTCTGCCAGTGAAAACGGAGCTCTGTTTTTCTGGCAGGGGGTTGCAGGAGGCCATTGCAGCCAAAAATGGAGCTTGGGAGACCGTTTTTGCTGGCAGAGCACTCAAGCCACCATGCCCACCCTAGCCATGCCCCCTGGCCCTCTGAGGTCAAACACAACCCTGATGCGGTCCTCAATGAAATTCAGTCTGAAACCCCTTTTCTAAAGCAAAAGGCAGATTAACAACTAAGTTAAAAATACAATTAAAGGAAGCAAAAATTGATTAATCCATTAGTATTTACAGACGAACAGGAAATACTTTTGGGATCTATACTATCTTAAATGATCTTTGCCAAAGCTCTGAATTCCATTATTTGTTGGGTCCAAAGCTAAAAGTGACCAGGCGATGGGTGTGATGCTTATTTTTGGTTAGCAAGTCATAAGGAGGGACATTTGCACCCAGTCATTCTCTATCTATAAGTTGGATAAGGTTTGCCTCCTTAGATCTATTGGAAGGAGAGAGAGAGAGGGAGGGAGGGAGGGAGAGAATTTTTTATCAGCAAACTAAAGTGGAACTACTGATGGAGTGCAGACTTTGAAAGACTGACTTCATAAAATCTTCATTTGGCCATAAGAAAAGATGTTCTCCTTGTGGGTGTTCATATTTTATTTATGCAATATCAGGGGTTTTCAATTCAATGTATAGAATGTGAAGGATGTGTGTTTGTGTTTATTTTCATAGTCATAATGTACACTGAAGATGATATTTAATTTCATTGTATCATGTGCAATGACAATAAACTAAACTAAACTAAACTAAATTTGCCTTGCCTCTTGAGAGATCAGATTGACATTGGCTTTCTCCAGTCTATCAGTTCTGGACACTGACAGAGGCTATGACAGTCATCCATGTTTTCACCTTTTGAATTTGAATTACTGCAATTAAATAGGGCAATTCAAACATTTTCACTAGTGCAGAAGCAGCTAAACACTTGGGAATAACTTAAGAAGTAAGTAGGTAAGTAAGTAAGTAAGTAAGAACTATTTGGGGAACAGGGTTCTATTTAAGTGGATGTAGAGATGGTATGATTAATTGAAGTTTGGTGTCCAGGTTTGTTTATTGTTTAAGTCCTGGGTTACATTTATTGTTTTCATGGTCTTATTGGAATATAAGCTTCCCAAAGTCTTTGAAGAAGGTGGGATCCAGATGTAAATTAAACCTGGCTTATAATGGATGTAACTTTGGGAATTTATATGTGATAGGATCACAAACATAATTTCTTTATTTTAGAACTCCCCTAATTAAAATGAGAATTCAGAATGATTGTGAATTGTCATTTCAAAATGGACTGGACTGAACTAGTAGTGTGCTGCTAAATTATTAAAAGTGTGTGTGTGTGTGGGGGACTTTCCAGCCATAGACAGTGAAGTGGAGGCTGAGATCTTGTTGGTGCTGAAAAAGAGACAACCTGTTTATCTTGCTTTCTCTCTCCTGCAGCTCCTCTAGAATTAAGTTAGTCAAGAGATACAAGACTGATTAATGC